CATCCACATTTATGTATAACTTGCTCTAGCAAATAATGCTAGATTAAAAGTTCTTCTATGATGAAATTATACATCCCATTCAATAAATGTACAGTTATATAAACCAGCCAAGCGATAACACAGGCACCAATTATTTGTTGCTTATAGGATTTTCAAATTTAAACATGAAAAGCCAGTCTTTCTTTAGAAGACAAATAATCAAACTCTTCCTTACAGAAAAACTACAGCTTATTTGTATAAGTTAAAGGACAAGGTTACAATGTTAGACAAATATTAATTCCAGTTTCCTATATGCAGTGCACAGGTGCAAGTGGAACAGCCTATAATATGATATAATCATTAAATTCATTCAACCAGACCTTAGAGAGTTAAAAACATATATTCTGAGGAACAGGACTCCGCGGTCCAAAGGATGAGAATGAAACAGTGCAGAATATTTGTGTATCAAGGTGATTCCAGTTCCCAACTGGGAACGCAGGACTGTTAACACCCATATCCCCCGACAACTGTCCAATTATGTATATCACACTTGGCCTACTGTTTGCAGTAGAAGTAATCAATGAAGGATGTGGTTGAGTGAACATAGATTTTGGTTGAACCAATGCATGAAAACTTAATCATTTACTCAGAGAGAAGAAATCAAATAGGGCAACCATGAAGCAGTCACCAAGGGGTTTGTGGATTGTGCCACCAAGTTTGTGGGCCACAGATGAAAGTAATAAGGCAAATGGAATCAGTGACAGGAGAAAATATGGAAAAAAAAGCCATTCCTAATTTCATGAATTAATAGGAATGTTTTTGATGTATTGGGAGGGGGGGTCATTTTTAGGAAATTTCGCATCAAAGCTTAGATATGCTATTTTGAGGAATATATGAAAATTACCAGAGCATGTCATTTCTTTCAAGCAAGAAGAAATTAATTTTCAGCTATAACAGAAAGGTAATTTTCACACTTGAAACTTTGCACTGATTGATTTAAAGATCTCCGCTGCGGAAAGTTTTCTCAGAAATTATTTAAACCAAGTTTGCAAGAAAATTTACAAGTGCTATGGAATTAACCCAGAGATGGACTAGTTATCACATTCTTTTGAGGGATTCTCATTTTTGTCATTTTCTAGATTCTTTTTAAAAAGTCATCCTTGTTAATTGGAGCATTGTGACAGTAAATAAGTTATTATGAAAATGAGAACAAAAATTGTCAGAAGAAAAATCGGGAATTATTTCCCCCCTTTTCCTATTACTCTCATTGTGTTAATATTAAAGTAATATTTGCTTGGTAATTCCTCCCCTCATACTCTATTTTGTTTATGAGCCACAAATCTGGCTTTTATTGCTTTCTTCTTGGTAACTGTTATCTTTTTAGAGCATCAACTCTTTTTCAGCAGCATTCCAAAAGGAATCTATCAGTGCTTATTTTCTGTCATGCTGCTTAAGTTTTTGTGCAATTAATATCGTCCGACCAACTGGCAAAAATAACAAACCTATTGTTATTTCACTAGTAAAAATGTTTACTAATACGAGGATAAAATTCACTGTTAAAATATTATCATTCTAACTCCAGACCTGGTTCTAGTATGACCAAATGGGCAAATTTCTATTACCTAGTCCTCAGTCTTGAAGGAATGAGGCTTGATTTTCAAGTAAAGTCTCGATAGACATTCTTAAAACCATGTTAGAAGCTTCTAGTCTTAACTGCTTATTCACCTTTCAGGCCTGCTCAGCTGATGACCCTAGACACACGCTTATCCTAGGCATGGCTATCTATCTGCTTCCATTTCCTTTAAGCAGATAAAATTTGTTTATAGGGATAGGGCTGCCATGAGTAAAAGTTGTGCAATTGTGTAGGTTAGGAGAAATATTTAGAGGCGATGTTAAGCTTCACGTGCATCTTGATTTATTTCTTAGCTGCAACCACTATAATTTCCCCTGTTTCAGTTGTCCTCTCTCTTGCTGGTTGCTGCTAATCTGAGGAGAATTTAAAACTATTGAAAGGATCTGCATATATGTGGTGCCCGTGCACATGCCTGTGCATGCACATTTGTACATGTATCAAAGAACACCAAGCCTTTGAAAGCAAAACGAATAGCCCTGAAATTTACCTCAAAGCATTTTGGCAGCTAGTGAACTCGATCAGGTCTCTCGATCCTCAGGTTGTACTATCTACCTATGCAGAAGTTTTGTCTTTGAAGCAATTGCCGTGATATTTGCATAAATAAAATTTACCAAGACCTAGATTCCCCAGAGCTCCTTCAATAAAGAAGGAGCCATTTTTGTACTGCCATTGCAGTACAAAATGGTGGTTGTAGGTTAGAAAGTTTGCTGTGGCCTTGGGATGCTTCTGACTGCAGAACTAGCATTTCCTCTCCTCTCTTATGCATTGCATAACAGTATAATATTAGAAATCTATGTCTAGGGCTATGGAGATAGCCCAAAGGGCTAAGGACATGCTCAAGTTCAAATCCCTGCACTCCATGGTCCCCAAGCACTGCCAAGAGTAATTCCAGTGTGCAGAGCCGGGAGTAACTCCTGAGGATCACTGAGTGTGACCTCAAAACAAACAAAAATAAAATTAAAAAAAATTTAATTTCACACCTAAAGTACCAATGAAGCTGTCAATGCTATCAATGATTTTTATGGTCTACATGGAAGTTTGGGGTCACTGCTTTTTTCGGGGTGGGGTTGGGGCTTGAGAACCATACCCAACAGTGCTTAGGGAGCTACTCACACTTTTGAGCTTGGGGTGAATCTTAGCAGTGCTCATAGGACCATGCAGTTCAGGGAGTGGAACCTGAGCTAGCGTTCAGCCCTTTGGTCTCTATGTGTAGCCCTAGACCTAGATTTTTAATATTATACATATGGGATACCAGGAACTGAACCTGGGTCGGCCACGTGCAAGGCAAATACCCTACCCGCTGTACTATCACTCCACCTGAAATTTTAAATTTTTATATGTAGATGTTGTTTCATTTGGCAAAAAATAAGATGGGATTAAATCTTCTTGTCTGTTACACGTTTGTGCTAAGGCAGGCTGCTAGACTGCTCAAAATATTCAGTTAGAATTGTCCCGATCACACCGGGGTTGGGTTGGATTATTCACAAGGTAAATTATCATTAATAGAATTGTACATCACAGTTCTGCAATCATAAAAAATGTTTAAAAATAGAATTTCCTCCATTCCTGTCCAACACTCCCTGCTTCACATGGTATTAAACACAGGGTATTCTTCCCTACACCAAAACCCAAATACTACTTGAGCAAAACTAAACCATTGCTGCCAATATTTACAGGATCATTGTTCAACTCTCCCCTTACCATTCATGATATAGACCAGAAATTCAAATCCTAGAATAGAGTCTAAAATATTCCACATGATGCCCCATTTTAATGGCGAGGAAAGAATTTCAAAGAAAACATCACGTAACCAGAAGTTTAAAAACCAATAATAAAGACCGTCAGTAATTTGGATTATTGGAACACTTGTCTTGAGATCTAGTGAGTGTTCAAACATCTCTTTGTAAAATAAAAACGTTGTTTCCCTCTGGAGTTCTATCTCCTTAGTTCCATATTTGGTGAAGATTTTTTTTCTGAACACTTAAAGGGATGCATTTCTTTAATGACAGGCTTATGCCAGAATTTCTGCTAAAGCCAGAAAATAATTAAATTTTTATTAATTGTGGGTAGTTTTTACCACAAAGGGATGTAGCTTAATGATCAAGATGAACTTGACAAAAGGGCATTATCTTGTGTGCCCCAAAAGATAGTAAACTGAAACGTTATGAATCTTTGAGCAATACTTGCTTCTTTCTGAATATTATTTGGAAAGTAAAAGTTTAAGGGATCCATGGGTGAGCTGTCAATCTCTTTTTGGAGAAACCCTAATCCTCATCACTTGCTTGCTTACCCTTTTACTGCTTCCGCTTCCTTGAGTAAATGTCAAGGCTCTATAAATACATCCATGTTCTAAAACCGTTTTTACGCTTTGCATTTGATTTGATATTTTGTGGCATCACAATGGGCATTTTAATACTTAATTATTTTAAAATATTTAATGATTACTCTATTGACAATGATAAGCATAATGACAGTGGTAATTATATATAACGTTTACATCTCAGTAAGTATTTAGCATTTTAGAATTTTTTTCAATAAACAATTTCACCATATAAAATACTACCTTGTAACAGGTTCCAACCAAACTACCATGGGGAAGAAATTAGAATCTGACTTTATCAGACCTAGTATTACTCTAATTCTAAAGATCAAAAACCTTCATCTGGATTATAAGAGGAAGCCCCAAAGTCCAAGGTTTTAATTTGGACAACATTTGGACAACTTTTCTTAGTCTTACTCTTTACTGAAATCACAGTGCTTCTATGTAATACAACAATTGAATAGAATACACAAAGACCAAATACAATGAGTGTAGGGAAAATCAAGTGTCTTCTTCAGAAAAATTTGTATCCAAAAATAGTATCCATCCTATTCATGAACACTTTTGATTTGGGAAGGGAGGGGTGGTGGAATATTGGTACTATTGCTTTTTTGCATCCAATTTTCTATCCAAATAAGATAAGGAGAGATGTCTTAATGGAAGAAGCATGACTGAAGCCTAATGGAAACTTTCTTCAAAGAAGAAATCTGGAAAGATTATGGTGAGTCACAGTTACTGAAGCGAACTACATATTTCTATGTTCTCTGCCTTTTTTTTTTTAACCTGTGAGATGTGACCTGATTTTCTCCTGGTCTTCAAGGTCATCCCAAAACTTACAGAAAATCGAAAACAAAATCATACCAAGGAGGAACGTTCCAAGAGGAGCTTGGGCCCCCATTTTACAATACCACGTTGGTTTAAAATAACTTACGATGAAAGGGTCAGTTAAGAAGGGCACTACTTAAAATTTAAGCAGGCAGTAATGGAAAGCGACAGACCTCAAACAATTTAAGCCTGTCATGGCTGAGTGAATTCACAGTGACAGCACGGTGGGGATGGGGAGGTTACCTCTGCAGGACCTTGGCGATGGCTTCGTAGGCTTTGGTCAGGCTGGGCTTATCCTGCAAGTATGTCGAGATACTACGGAAATTGTTCAGGGCCTATGAGGAAGAGAAGAGAGAGACGGATTAAACATCCAGCCCGGCCGGATGCACTGATGCTTCATTTCATAACAGAAAAGATGAAAATTAATCGTTGCTTTTAATGTCTCCATAAAATATTTTTTGGCCTATTAAAAATTCATGTGGGTTTGTTTTATTTTTATCTATAGTACAACTCATTTCGAAGCCATCTCTTTAAGCCAGGACAGTGAGGTCTCACTTTTGTAAAAATAATTCTTTTCCCACACTATCCAAAAAAAAATCTTCCAGTTTCTATAACTTAGGTGTGAATAAATAATTGAATGGCTTGCAACATTATTTTAAAATATGGCACTATTACCTAAGGTAATATAAAGCAGCTGATAATCTTCTACTACGGTAGCTTAAATATCACTTTTCTTTCTATAAATAGCTGCTTGAAAAGCGTGAATTTAGGTGCCAGGCAATTTCTAAATCTATCATTTTATTAGCTGCATAGCTCACAGTTTGCAAACATATTCAGTATACACTAAAAATATTTCTTACAAATGTATTTCATTACCAACAATCTCTTCAATAATCAAAAGATTACCACTGCCACAGTCAAACATATGATCTTAATTTAATTTAACCCTGACATCATCTGTGTGGGGTAATTTTCCCTTTGATTTTTTTTTTCCTTTTTAGTGTCAGCAGGGGGAAAACACGTAATACAAAAATCCCTCTCTTTTTTCTTCCTTCATTGTTACTTGACCCAGCCTATTACACACATGAGGACACAGGAACTCTCCAAAGACCTCTATGGAAATCCTTTTTGCACATTTTCTGAGACAGAATTAGTGAAAGACATTTGACTGTTTTGGGGGGAGTGAGTCAGGGCGAGGGAGGACCGAGCTACCCCTATGGACTGCTGCCAGGAGGAGGCGGTTCCGAGGGTCCACGGAGGGAGGGGTCAGGAGACCAGGATTTAATCTCACTTTACCCTCACTATGTTCTATTCCTGGCAGGTGAAACCTTGGAGCATTTGGATTTCGTGTGGCTGACGAGGGACATATTGACAGAATACCAATATGCCACCTTTCTGGTACATGCTGACACTTATTTTTAAATCTCCTTGTGACTCTTTTATAAACTTGAGACTATTCTTTCCCTCCTCCCCAGCATCTACTGACAGCATCAAGAGTGAGTCCAATAGGACTTGACATTGGTCTTGGGCTACAGGAGGTGGTGTTCAGGGGCTGCTCCTGGCTGAGTGCTCAGGGGTTATTTCTCGTGGTGTTTAAGGGACCATACAATGCCTGAGTGCCTTGGGAAAAGGTCCTGAAATAACTTGGCATTTGGCCTCTTCCCTTCTGGAACTCTTACTCCCCTGTCTTACATGTTTGCTTCATGACGCCAATCCCCAGGGAAATTGTCTCAGCTATCTGATAGATGAACAATAGTTGATTAAATGAATTCATACTTAGAGGTAAATGACTCAGAGATCATTAACTCTGCCAGAAGAAGTTGCAGTTTTTAAAAAGAGAATGCAGGGGCCAGAGCAACTGTAAAGCAGGTAGGGTATTTGCCATGCACGCAGACAACCTGGATTCGATCCCTGGTAACTCATAGGGTCTCTGCGTCTGCCAGGCATGATCCTGGAGTGCAGAGCCACGAGAAAACTCTGAGCATCACTGAGTGTGGTCTCTAAACAAAATAAGTAAGTAAATAAATAAATAAATAAGAAAGAGGATATTTGCCAGCCTAAATCACTTTTTCTGTGTGGTGTTTTCTATTATCTAGCAAAGTGAAATGAAGTAATTCCATGTAATGTGTGTAGCAGGATAAATTGGAACAAAGATTATCTTTAAAAGCTAGCCATGTCTTAAAAATCTGAGCATCTGAATGTTCCCTTAGACAAGAACCTTTCACCCCCCTTTCTTTTCCTTTTTTTGGGTGGTGGGGGTGGTGGTGGTAGGCAATATCTAGCCATGCTCTGAGCTTCCTCCTGGCTCTGAGTATTAAAGATGAACAGCAAGGGAGCAACACAAAGCCCAAGGCAGCACAGTGGGGGAACTGATCATCGCATGAATTCTCTCTGGCATGAACTGATGTGAAGTTTAAATGAGCTTCTGTGCCCTATTTGGTGAGCCAACCTGTAACTTTTCTGTAGGAAAATAACACATAGAAACCACCATCTAAGATAAGCTTTAGTATGAGGCACATTTGACAAAGACATTTGGTAAAAATGTCATTGAACTCAAATCTTCACTTAGAATTTAAGGTAGTTTCCCTTCATTTATTAATTTACCACTCTTCCTCCCTACCTGCCACCCCTCTTCCCCATTGCTCTGTTTATTTATTCATCAATATTTGAAATCAGTAGAGACTTCTATCCTGAGGCATGGTGGTGGTGGTGAGGGGGTAGGGCATTTGCCATAACCAAATCTATCTCTGGCTGTTCACATTTTCTCCAAATGTCATTGGTGTGTGAATCATGTGGGTCTCCAGGCGGGCTGAGTGACATGTGTCAAGTGACTTAATCCTTCTGAGCCGCTTTCCTTGGGCAAAACAACTGAAACGAATAAAGTCTATCTGAAAAGGGAATGTTATAAGGTTCCATAATACAAGAAAGTTAATGGCACTTAGTCAAGATTTGAATGATGCGATTGCTCAATTTTTCCAAGTACTCCTCTAACTCAGGGGAACTGAAATGGGGATCATTTTGCCCTCCAGGGGCTCTGTGGCAAAGTCTGGAGACATTGGAGGTTGTGAGAACTGGATACCATGCTGCTGGCATCTAACGGATAAAAGCTAGGGATGCCACTAAATACACTCCAATTCCCACAATAGCGACCTCCTCCCCCACCTACACATATCAAAGAATTATACAAGTCCGTCATGTGAATGTCACTATTGGGAAACCCTCATCTAGCTTGACTTGAACAGTTCTCAATTTGGAAAACCGGAGGCTTGCCCCTAGGTCGAGGGTCATGTGGGGAAATACGTTGAAGCAAAATCTTTAACCGCCACCTACAAGTCAAGAGTGTGTTCAGAGGAAAAACACAAGAGAAATTCCTTCCCTTTCCATGCAGAAGCACTCACATTACCAAAAGGTGACTGTTTTCCTTCTTCCAAGACCCTAACTTAGAGAGTGACCTGGGATAGTCTGAATTGAGAGTAAAAAGCAAACAGTGATAAAACCATACAAGGGATGGCTATTAGATTTCTCTGGAAATAAGTTAGATGTCTGTTGCCTGGGGTCTAACGTTTACCTCTTTCTTCCCTGCCCCAAACAAAAGGGCAACACAGCTAACATTTTGTTATACAGCTCTTCTCCAAATGCCAAATTCTGTCATTGCATAATGAAGGTTGGGTACATTGATCATTACATACGAAAGGAGGGGAAGTAATGCCACGGATCTATGACTGTGCACTAAGTAATGTAAATTTTTTTTTTAAAAAAATCAAATTTGAAATCATTGTCAAATCTTGTTGGAAATACATTCATTCTGATTTCTGGCAATCTGACCCCCTTTAGCCATTTCACAGTTGGTGAGCAGAAAGGATGTTTCTGCCTCATTTGCGGTGTCTGAACATGATTCAGACAATCAACTGCAACATTAGTCAAAGGGATCAGTGGCTAATGATTTCTGACAAGCACTGCAGTCACAGGCTGAGGACCAGACCGGACAGCACCCGCGCTCAGAGCATTTGACTGGAGCCAGCGATGGGCAAGAGTGGGTGATAAAAATAGGGGACGAAGACCTGGTCTCCCACCACTTAAAGGCTTTTAGACACTCTCTGCAGAGGGACAGCAGCTGACAAACAATAGAATCAGCAATCTTTTCTTCCAAAGACCTTCTGCTGAATGAGCCCCGAGAACAATCAAGGGTGTCGGTCTGTAAGCTACGACACACAAAAGCAGTTAAGCTCAAACTGCAAAAGCATGGAAAAGAGTTGAGCATCTTTTGCATTCTGCTGAAAGTATAACCATAAATACTGGAATATTTTAACCTTAGTATTATTAATGATTAATTGGAATATGTACACTCTCTCCCTGAAATAAATCACTCATCATTTAGACCATTATTTCTCAAATTGGGTGATAGTGCCCTTGGGGGTGCTTGAATAACGTTAGGGCAGTAGTTTCAGGTACAGTTGGGGGGGGCACTTTTTTTCTTTTTAATTCAATATTTTTAATTTAGATTTTTATTAGTGAAGCACCATGAGGTACAGTTGTAGATTTACAAATTTTTGTGCTTGGGTTTCAGTTATACAATGATCGAATACCCATCCCTCCGCCAGTGGGGGGCACTTTTTTTACACATAAAGAAAGCAGGTTTTGAGGGGAGTGTTAAGAGGTGTTTTTTGACCACACATTGATTTCCATCGCCCAATTTAAAATGAAGATTATATCATCTAGTGCAGAAGAACTGAGAGTTCAGACAGGAGGCTGAGTTTATCTTTTGCCATGAGCTCAGTGTGTGTGACCTTGGAAAGGATCTGTGAGCATCAGATAATCTGACCCCTTTAGCCATATGAGAATATTACCTTGAGTGTCAGTTTTCAAGTGTGGAAGATGACAATGAGGCAAGACCAAATGATCAAGAATTCCCTTTCCAAAGTACTTGATGTTGACAAACTTAATACTTTCAGATAAGGTCTACTTGTTTTCAATGAATTATCCTTGTTTCTAAAGTCCCAGATACATCTACATTAATTTACCTGTTCCTTTATATTGTGGTACAGGGAACCATAGCTTGTGTCTCACACACATAAGGCACATTCTCTACCACTCAGCCACATCCCCTGACCCAAAGTTATTTTTATTTTGAAAAACTTAAAACAAATTTTTTTCATGGTCCCCTCCCTAAACCCCTAACAGAATATTTGAAGCACAGAGTCAGGAGTAAGCCCTGAGTATTTCCAGGTAGGGATCAAAACAAAACATAACAAAAAATACTAAAATAAAAGTTAAAAAGAGAACAAAATTATAAGTCATTTAGTTCAGTGGAAGCTTTATATTCATGCTTCCATTT